GAAAGAACAAATAAACATTTGTTTGGAGGAAATGACTAGGGGATTCCCATCAGAGGAAACAGGGCACACACAGGCACAGAGTTGTAAATGAGCCCGGAGGTGACCAGAGACTCCTCGAGTGTGACCAAAGCATTATTTATGGCGATAAAAACAATAAAAATAAGTCATAACCAGTTTTCCCAAACACTGGTGCTTTACAGACTCTCTTAGTTTAGATTCCTTTGAAGTGGTTCCTGCGTTCCTAGGAACGCAACTTCTGGGAGGAGGCTCTGGGGGCGAGGGCAGCAGGATGGGCAGAGGAGTGAGCAAGGTTGCGGTCTCTGCTGGGCTCTGTGCGAGCCGGCTGGATCTCATGGGGAGCTGCAGAGTCAGTCACTTCTAGAGAAAAGAGGCCAGCCTCTAGCCCACCCCCTGCCGCCTCTTCTGGTTCACAGTTCCCTTCTGGCAGGGGCCAATTTTCCAGAGAAGTTGTGAGTAGCCAGCAGGCAACACTCATAGCAGCTAGGTGGTAGGTGGCCTGGTCTGTGAACGGACTGGACCAGAGAATCCGCAGCATACACCTCATCTCCTATCACGCCCCAGGAGGCGGCCATTGCTCTTCCCATTGGACGGGATGCTGACATCACCCGCAGAAGGGTATCTGGCTCGTGCTGGGGCACAGACAGGCTGGAATTTCAATCCAGGTCTTGGACTCCCAAGCTCACTTCCTTTCCTCTTCACCCTACCCCAGAGAGAAGGGGACTCTTCCTGGGTCACATAACCCAAAATACCAAATCCTGCAACTCCCAGACAGGGACTGCTCTCTACGGGAGGAAAGTCTGATCTCTCCCAGGCTTTCACCCTGAAAAGTTGCAGATGGAACTGCAGCCCCGCCTGAGAACCATCTCTTTCTCAGACCACCAAGGTGAGTCTGGTACAAAAGAAACACATGGTCCAGAGAATATGGGGGAAAGTGATCATTTGTAAAAGCTAAGACAGTTATACATAAGTTTTATGACTTGCTAAAACTGAACAATGGAGCATACGTTTGAAAAGAAACTTCAAGTCCGTAAGATCTGATTTGAACATTTTTTTTGTTCTTTTGGAGGTTTTTGCCTTAGGGCATGTGTACTTGCTAGAGAAAGAGAGTCAGACAGAAAAAGACAGTGAGAAGGAAAGTGAGAAGTCATCTCCTGGGATCTTGGGCATGCACACACACGGACCCTGTATGAGTTTGAAGCCACCAGGTCCAGGACTCGAACCGCAGTCAGCTATGTGGAAGTCCAGTGACCTAGCCACTACATCATCAACTGGTCCCCCTTTTATTATTTTTTCCTTAAGGTTTGTTTTTGTTTTGTTGTTTTGTTTTGTTTTTAACCACAGGGCATGTGCATTCACCAGACAGACAGAGAAACAGTGAAAGGAAAAATGGGAAATCGCCCCCAGGGGGGATGGCCACGACACCATTCCTTCTCCTCCGGTCTCCTCCAAGGATTTTGGGCAAGCTGCACAGGAGCCTAGCATGAGTTTCAAGTCACCAGATCTGGGACTCGAACTGCAGTCAACTATGTGGTCAACCACCATGCCACCTGCTGGTTCCCTGATTTGAAAGTTTAAGAAAAAGGACACACTTGGACAATACATACCCCATGGAAGCCTTTGCCTCAATAGCAGTTCCTAAGAAGATGGTGTTCAGAAGTGTGCCATTAAAGAGCAGGTTTGTAATGCAATAAAACTGGATATTCTGGAAGCAAATGCTTTCCAGAAACAGCTTTCTACTCATATCCAGAGGCTTGCACATAATAGGTGCCCAATAACTATTTGCTGAATGAGTGAACCTTATAATTAATTGTATTTATAAAAATGCATTTTGTAGGAGTTAGAATGTTCATCCTCTGAATCCTCTATTGGCTATGAAAACTTCATTTTGCCCACGTTTACACCAGTCCTTCAGCAACTGAGATAATACAATTTCTGCTGTCAATGAGGCAACACATGGTAAAGAGAGTGTCCATGTGTGTGTGTATGGGAGTTCAAGCAAGCCCTCCAGGAAAAGACCAGAAGGAAATATACAGAGATTTTGCCATTAAAGACTAGAGACCAATAGCGTCCCTATAAGTCATGGGGAGCTGTAGGTCCCCAAAGAGTCTAAGTTATACTTCAACAAATTCAGTGTGAACTACATGTTTCCTACAGGTGGTGGTTTATAAAAAGATGACAAGGCTTTCTAAGCCCCTTCCATCAAGAGACAGTCAATTTCCCCATTCCTTGTGTCTGGCTTTGACCAACAGAATATGCTGAAAGTAGCTGTGTGCTGGTTCCAATCTCTCACCAAGTGATCTTGCAACTTCCATTCTTACTGCTCTGGGAACCTTTCTCCTATCGTGTGAACAACCTTGGGCTACCCTACTGAGGGATGAGAGACCATGTGAGGCAGAAGTGAGACCCCACACCCAACAGCCAGGCCACACTGATTGCTGCCACTTACGTGAGCCCAGCTGGCCAGGAGAGTCACCCAGCTGAGCCCTGCCAAACTGCCAACCCATGGAATCATGAACGAAATAAATATATTTCAAGTCTCTATGTTTTGAGCAGCAAAAACCTATTGACAAGTTATAAAGAGTCTGGATTGTAATAGCAAGATTTGATAATATTAAGGTTAGCTCAGCTATTGGGCAGAATTAATCTCAAGAATCCTAATGTCTTCTTCTTAAAGGTATAATTAGGGAGACCTTTTAGCACAAAATATTTTGATGGACCCCCAGAAAGTCCAATCACCTTGTTCCATTGTTAGTGAAACTGAAGTCCAGAGAAAAGAAAGGGACACAGTCACTCATTTCCTGAGTGCCTCTATGTGCTAGACACTGTAGCCCACTGGGAAATACAGCGTGAGTAAGAGAGACCAGACCCTTTCCCATGGAGGTCACCGTTCAGTGGGGACATCAGATATTAGCCGAGCCAACTCACAGATCAATAGATGACCACAGACAGGGACGAGCACCAGGAATTAAAATGACCTGGTGCCAGAAGACAGAAACACGGGGAGGGGACCTAACTTGGATTTGAAAGTCACAAAGAGCTCTCTGAGGAAGTGGCATTTAGACTGAAGCAAGTTAGTGGCAGCCTTGGACGAGAATGGGGCTCTCAGTAGGCAGGGCAAGGTAAACATGTGGAGCTTTGCATCCCAGCTGTGCAGGTTCAAATCCCAGTTGGATCACTCCCTGGCTGAGTCACGTTGGCTGTGCTGGTCAACACCCTTGAGCCTCATGTATAAAGTGGCCTCACTGATAATGTCTACTCATTCTCAGGGGCATTGTGCAGATCAGCTAACAACTACTGAGAAAGCTTTGCAAATGGTAAAACGCTGGGCTAACAGCATTTTACCATTTGAGATGTTCCTATTAATGGTTTGAGAGAATGATATTTATTTGCCCTGCACTTCCTCATCAAAGGACTGTGTTCCCTCTGCCCAAGCCTTGAGCACACACAGAACCCCACTGAGTCCACCTTCCCTTTCTGGACAGGACGTCAGCGCCAACACTTCCATCAGGTTCTGAGCCAGAACCAGCTTTACTGTAGCATGCTTCTGGAAGCCAGCACTCAATGTGTTAACAAAAGGCAATGTAAGCACTGCAAAAAGGCTCAGAAGATATACTTGGGTGAGCTCTGGACTTTTGAGAGACGTTTCCAAGCAGAGTATGGACAATTAAGTATCCTTAGTGGATTTTTCTCAAATGACAAATCTAGGACGTAGAGTCATGCCCACCACTCTCACAGACCAGCACATGTCAATGCAGCATAGAGGTGACTTCGCAGCAGCAACATGACACATGGGGACAGGACAAAAAAGGGACACGGTGTGGCCCTGTGTGAGCAGGGTAGCCATGCAGTAGAGCTCCCACCCCGCAGTGGTAATGCTCTCAAAGGGCTGAGGGCCCATGTCTTACCTATGCCCCCAGGGGACCTGCCTCAGAATAGGGCACAATTCTTTCCCCATCTGAAAATGATGACTGAAGGCTCACCCAACTGGACTGCCACAGCTCCCACAATGATATAGAAGATGGTGGAGCTCCAGGGCCAGGTTTGCCCCCCAGCTCCCCTAGCTCCCTGGCAGCTATGGAATTCCTTGGCATTCCACCCAGCACCCTGAGCTGGCTCCACCTTGCAAGCAGAGCTGCCTTAGGGAACTGTCCAAGACGCAATAGCCTGCAGTGAGCACCTGGCCTGCAGTGAGGACCCTCCCCATACTATATTCTGCTCAGAGAACCCTCTCTGGGCCATCGGCCTCCAAGGACAATGCTGCCTGGGGTCCTGGCCTGCAGCAAAGACCCTCCCTGGTATATTCTGCAGTGAGAACCCTCTGAGGCATCAGAGTCTACAGTGAGGAAGTTCCCAATGCAGAGAATGTTCATTTTCGGAGATAAGGTTCTCAGTGGAGAACTGATTCAATGGGCATCTGTGGCCTTCAGAGGTTTGGGCCGGGTTTGGGGCAGCCTCGCCCAGGATGGCTGAGTCCCCTGCACCACTGAGGAAGACCTCACAGGAAACTTTTGTGCCATGGCCATGACCTCCCCTTGTGCCATTAGGCAACTCCAGGTGGGTGAGAGAACCTTGCACAGCTGTGCAGGGGCAGGCTGCATCCTCACCAGAGCGTGTTCCTCGGTGCTATGTGCTAGCCAGAGGTGGCACCCCAGGGAGCACAGGACGCTTGCTCACTGCTGCTGCAGACTCCCCTCTGAGCACGGGAAATGCATGCAACACGCTGCCAGTCTCATCAAGTTCTCAAGGACGTCCACTTAAAGCCGGCAGCAGCCAGGCAGTTGATTTGCAGAAAGCACTCTACTGCCAGTTTGATTGCCCATCTCAAAGGGACTCAACTGATATTCTTGAACGTTCTAAGAGAGAACAGAAGTAGGCTATGCCCTCACCACTCTGCACCCCTCCCTCCTGCACCCCAGGAGCAGCTCGGCTCCTGCCAGCCCAAGGCTTAGACCCTGGCTCAGGAAAGACGGGGCACCCACCTGGCTGGTTGACAGGAGCTCTGGGTTTCCGTCACTCATCCCCACGTAGGCACTGTCACCATCAAACTAGGAGAGAGAGAAAAGTGGCTCCAATTAAGATGTGCTCAAAGAGATGTTAAAGATGTTTACTAGGAGAAGCAGCCCGAGGAAGTTGGAGACTGAATGCTCAAGGCTGGGGGGCCCGAGGAGCAAAGATGGAAACCCAGGATGCCCAGGTCCTGTTTCAGCAAGTCCTCTCTGGGAGGGGTGGGGCAGCCCTGTTCTACAGCTCCCAGGGGCTCAGGTTAGCACTGATAATCACACTTAGAAGGAAGACAGAAGACTTCTCTGCCCTCTGCACCTTGCCCATAGACCCTGCCTGGTCCCTCCTGGAATTATATAAGCATCTCTCTTGGCCAAAATGATGTCAGGAAAAGTTAGCACTGGAATCCCACATGTGTTGGAGCGTGGGGTGGGTAGCTCTCCAGGGCTTAGGGATCATGACAGCCTGCCCCAGGCATGCCCTCTAGGTCTTGTCATCCTAAGTGGCTTTGCCCCCTCACCTACCCCATCCTGGCTCCTAGGGCCATGCCTGGCCACAGACACTGAAAACTAAGGTGGAAACTACAGTATAAGAATTACAATCCTGTATTCAGGGAAGCTTTCCAGACTGGGTTCTGGAAGATTTCAAATAATATTATGGGCAGCGGGAACCAGCAGTTAGCATAATGGCTATGTCGCTGGCCTCCCACGTAGTCGACCGCGGTTCGTGTCCCAGACCCGGTGGCTTAAAACTCACGCCGGGTGCATGTGCGTGCGTGCCTAAGATCCCGGGAGGAGAATGGAGGAGAAGGGATTGCGGAGGGACCATCCCCCCTGGGGGGTGATTTCTCGCTTTCTGTCTCTATGTCTCTCTCTGTCTGTCTGGCGAGCGCAAGCGCCCTATAGTGAAAAAAAAAAAAAACCCCTCTCAAAAAAAAAAGGGGAAATAATATTATGGGCAGCGGGAACCAGCAGTTAGCATAATGGCTATGTCGCTGGCCTCCCACGTAGTCGACCGCGGTTCGTGTCCCAGACCCGGTGGCTTAAAACTCACGCCGGGTGCATGTGCGTGCGTGCCTAAGATCCCGGGAGGAGAATGGAGGAGAAGGGATTGCGGAGGGACCATCCCCCCTGGGGGGTGATTTCTCGCTTTCTGTCTCTATGTCTCTCTCTGTCTGTCTGGCGAGCGCAAGCGCCCTATAGTGAAAAAAAAAAAAAACCCCTCTCAAAAAAAAAAAGTGGAAATAATATTATGGGCAGGGACAGTGGGAGGAATGGGGACTTGGAGGACATTGGCTTCCTCTTTGCCCTGATGCATGTCATCATGAGCCAGGGTCTAAACTTCTGAGCTTCCTCAGCTGTCAAACTGGGTCAATGGCAGCTGGTCCCTCTGCACAGGCGGCTGCTTTGAGAGCACCTGACCCAACATGCCAACCTACAGAGTGCTCGACTCCATTCTGGTTGGTTCACTTTCCTTGAGATGGGTGTCCTAGATGAAGTTCTCTAGAAGCAGAGCCTCAGGCAAGGATCAAATGCACCTGCGTTTTAAGGGAATGCTCTGTAGGCATGACCTGCACACGTGGAAGAGAAGCAGGACCAGCAGTGGGTGGAGCTAAGCAAGGAGGGGGTCCCAGCTGATGGGCTTCCACCTGTTCCCCAGGGGACTCTGGGCATGAACTGTCCTGCGGCATCCCCACAGGAAGCAAGGGGCAGGCTTTTATAACTCGTGTCAGTCAGCCATTGGCCTTGGGCTGCCTTGAGGGGACATGGGAGGCACAAGCTAGGCAAGATGGCTCCCATGGGGCAAGAGCAATTCTCCAGAGAACTGTACCAGCTTCAAGCCACTGGCTGGCAGGAGACAACTGCACTGGCTGGTGATGGGTTGTGAGTTGGGGCCCCAACAGCAAGAGGCCTTTTTTTTTTTTTTTTTTAATTGAATGACGTGTTTATAAGGACATATTCACAGTTCGGAAAAATGTTAAAAAGCAACCCCACCCCAGCTCCCAGCTCTCCACTGTCCTCCCCAGAGACAACTGTGCCTACTCTTCTTTACACCCTGCGGAGACAGGTTGCAGATACACAATTTAGTCACTTCTTTCATACAGATGACAGCACATATATACACATCGTTTTGCACCTTTTTTCTCTCTTAGCAACACATCCTGGAAAACGTCTTATATTAGAACCGAGCCCCTTCTTCTGCTACCCAGTATCCACAGCATGCGTTGGACGTAGATACTGAACCAGCTGAGACACAGGTAGCTGTGGTGTTCCTAGTCTTTCGCGAGTCCAACATGGCTGCCATGAAGGTTTCTGTGCATTCGTCATGGGTGTGCAGTTATCTGTGGGGCTCATTTGTATGATGGCTGGGTGCAATGTACATGCATCCATACCATTGGCAGGAGTCACCAAGCTGCCCTCGCGAAGGGTGTGAAAATCCGCAGTCTCACATTCAAGCACCCAGTCCTCCTCCCTCAGAGAAGCTGTGCTCAACAGCCGGTCAGGTGCCAGTCCCATCCCTGGCGGGCTCTGAGGACCCACACCACCTCCATCGCCACCTCCGTGCCCATTCCCTTGCTTTACTGTGCTCTATGTCCCTCGGCCCTTTTCCCATCTAACACTTGGCATAATTTACTTATTTACCACAGTCATTGTTTATCGTTGGATTCTGCCTACTAAAATAGAAGCCCCAGAGGTCCGGGATCTTAGTCCTCTATGAGCTGCTGCCTCCTAAGCTCCTGGACACTTGTTGAATGAATGAATGAATGAATGAATGAGACAGGCACTACGACATTCAGTCAGCCCCTTTCCAGGTCAGTCCGCCCATCTAGGTGATGGCACTGGCAGTTATGCCCACGTACCTCCCCAGCACAGGGACAAGCAGAGTCCCTCCGTGCTGGATTAGCAAAAGAGAAGCCCGTGCCATGCCAAGAGTCTGGACGCTGACCCTAAATGCAGGGCTCCGTCCACACATTGCCCCCAGAGTTCTGCTTCAAGACCCCGCTCAGAGGCCACCTCCTCCAGGAGGCCTGCCATAGTCTTGTCTCCTGTGGCTGTCCCTCTCACAGCTTCATTGTCTCCATATGCGCTCTCTGTCCGAGAGCAGGAACAGTATGGAGTCTGGAACTGTGTCTTGCTCAGCTCTGAATCTCCCAGGCATGGCACAGGCTTTCAGAAATGGGACTGTACTCGGGCAGGGTCGGGAACTTTCACCACAAGCTCCTGCTGCCACTGGTAGGTCACCATGACCATGAATCACTTCAATGAAAGTAAAACTTAAAAAGAAAATACATAATGTGTAAGTCTATTTGAATATAAAGATTAATTGGAAATGGAAGAAGACCAAGTTTTTTTTTTTTTCTTCTTGTTAATTTTTGCTGGAGGGTGTATGCACTTGCCAGAGAGAGACAGAGAGAAAAAGTGAGAAAGCAGCCCCCATGGGGAATGGTCTCTCTGGAATCCCTTCTCTTCCATCTCTCCCTCCTTTTGGGATGTTGAGCATGCACACAAACACACCTGGCATGGTTCTCCAGTCCCAGGTCCAAACCACAGAGTTGTCCACATGCAGTCTGGCCACTTTAACCATCACGCCACTGGCTGGCCCAGAAGACTAAATATTTGAAACATTTTATAAAGCAATAGCAATAAAACAGTATGGTGTGAGTTAAAAATACACAAATATGTCGAGGGCTGGCAGGTGGCGTGGTGGTTAAAGGCACTGGACTCTCACATGGCTGACAGTGGTTCAAGTCCTGGATCTGGCAGCTTGCTTTCTCACTCTCTCTCTCTCTCTCTCTCTCGGTCCCTCTACGGTCAAATTAAAATTTTTAAAAATGAACAAATAAATAAAGGTAAATAAAAATCATTCCTTTTAAAAATACAGAAATACGTACCAAAAGAACAGAGGGAAAGACATCTCTAAAAACCTTCAGGGCTTATCCCTTCACTCCCCTGTTCAGCCACCCTCTAAGAAAGAGCTGTCTCACTATGGGCTGAAGGAAACTTGCTTCCAGCTTTCAAGGAGGATTTGAGAAGTGGGCAGAGGATCCCAAGGCAGGGCTGGGTCAGTCTCAGTTCAGTTACCCTGGGTGCCTAGCACAGAGCCCGGAGAGCATGCTGAGCCTGGGACCTGCTCCTGAGCTCCTGGAGAGGGAAGACACGTGGTCTGCTCCTCTCTGCTCGGAGTCCACCATGTCAGAGCTCCCGAAGTGGAAGGGAAGACAGAAAGGGACCCTGGAGGCTCCTGGGTTTCATCAGGCTTGGCCTCTGGGACACTAAAGACCAACGCTTAGCGGTCAAAGCCACTCAGCCATTCTGAACTCGGCCTTGACCTCAAATACAAAGCAATGTTGTTCCCTCAGCCTGTGTCGTGTGGGATTCTTTCTGGGGGAATGAACTTCGGGTAAGCTGAGGGAGGGTCACAAAGCCACCTCTGCCCTCAGACACAACAGGGCCACCTCTTCCATCCATGTGTACACAGACAAGAGCAAAAACACTCACATCTACACCTACCACACTGAGTAAGCTGAGTGTGAACACAAAGGTATGCAGTACGCACAAGCAAAGGGACACACGCATGCACCACAAACCCATGTTGGGATGGACCCATGTCATCCACAACATGGCAACCAAAACAGCACCCGGTCACACATGTACTATATCCACGTGCAACACAAACCATGGGCACACAGCACAAACACGAGTGTGCACTTGTGGTACATGACAGCACCCACAGCATGCACACATGGGAAAGGGTGCATGCCCAGATGTGTATAAATACACCACACACGTGCAACCGGTCTCACAGCAAACGTGAACACAAACATGTCCTGCGAGTGCATGGAGAGACACACAAAACCAAGACACGCATGAACCGGAATTCTGGGCATGTGTCACAATGTATCGGCCCCTCAGTCAAACATCTTTTTTTCACACCACACAACCTTCTGTGTGCTTTTGAATGTGTAAAAAAGGAAAAACTGTAGGGGGAACAGCAGCCTAAGACTTTCCATGAAACGCCAGGAGAACATCCTCTTACCACTGAC